CACTGATGGAAGATGCAGTTGGCTTCTTCTTTCAGGTTCAGGCTCAAGGCCTAATTGTAGCTTGCCACCCAAGATTGGGAAATATACAGTAGGAACCTGGGGCCTCATGTATAAACGGTGCGTACGCATAAAAAAGTTATGTGCGCCAGGTTCTACGCGCACGTTGTGATGTATCAAAACCTTTGCGTGAAAGAGTGCGTATATTTGCTGTGAGAATGTGCGGCAGCCACGCAAAGTTTTTCAGTCGACAGTTTTAACTCATAAAGTCASGAATCTGACCTGAATCCACAGAAATATGACTTTGTTGTGTTTTCTGCATGTAAGGAGCATGTGAACACGGAGTCAGATTTTTTTTAGTTTTGAGTTTTTATTGTTTAAACTCGAGCGATCATGAAACTGAACCCCGGGACTGAAAATCATTTAAACTCAGACAAGAAAATAGATCAGTCTAAAAATGATCAAAAGAACCTCAGTCCAGTCTGTAAACTGTAAACTGTTTTTATATTTTTGTCACATAATTGAAAACATTTTGGGTCTCGGGCCAGAAAAACCCAACATACGTGCGGCATAAAAAAAATAATAAAAAAGGCTGAAGAGAGGGAGCAAAATCGGATGCAAATTGTGGCTCACTGTACGGTAAGAATAATTATTTTTCTGTGTGCAGACTTCTGAATGATGCTGAGCTGAGTTGTGGCCGGGGAGCAGCAGCTGCACTTTGGGTAGATTCTCGTGCCAGGCGCGCGCCACCCTCGCCAGCTGGGATGGTGTTCAAATGTGTCAAACCCTTTGGACATTAACCTGTCTAATGAGCCTCAAAAATCTATATTTTTTGCTAAAAATTCGTAAGCTACCACTCGTACTCGCGCGTGGCGGTGGGGTGCGGGGGTCTGTGGAGATGACAGCGCTGCTGTAACACAGGGGGAAAGGAGAGAGGAAAAAGTGGATAACGGGATTTTTTTTATTTGTTTGTTTATTTGTTGTTTTGTTTTTTAACATCTGTTCAACACCGTGTTCAACTAAATAGACAACTAACCAACTAACCAGACTTCAATATCACATTTGGGAGATAACTGTAAATTTCAGGAACATCTCAGGCTTTGGTTATCCCACGCGATAACCAAAACAATGCCACATAAAACAATGACACTCCACTACTTATTTAGACAGTTTTCTCACTCATTCTCCATTTAATTTTTCCCTGCATCTAAAAATCATTTCTGATCCCACAGAGAGGACAATCTGAGGAGAATCTCACACTCTGGACACATTTACATCTATTTTACAGATTTAAATGGAGGTGTGTCAGGGGGAGGTGTCTCACGTGCGCTCAGTTCCACGTTCATTGGGACGTATAAAGGAAAGGTGCACAGGAGCATGCGTACACATGGTTTTATACATCTGAATATTTTGGTGCGGCGCACATTTCTAAATTTGTCCGTATGTCAACTTTAGTGTGAAAGCTGCGCAAACATTTATGCATGAGGCCCCTGGGGTCTCATTTATAAAGGATTGCGTGGAAACCTTACTAAAAGTGAACGTACGGCCAAAAGGCGGAAATGGCGTACGCCAAAAAAAACTTCAGATTTATAAAACCGTGCGTACGCATGTTTCTGCGCATCTTTCCTTCATAAATCACAGCCACACGTCAGAGTTTGCGCACGAGGTCCCGCCTCAGGTTCTACCCTCTACACGCCCACATTCAACCATAAACAGTCAATGTAAAGTACCTCATGAATGTTGAGATGTATTTAAATCAGTCAGCTGTGATCAATGCCAACAAAAGTGATTGGTTCAGACACGCTCCGTCGTGAGTCTGGAGGATGACAGGTGCTGACTGACAGCTGCTCACCTGAACAGAATGTCTGTAACTGACACAGATTTTCCATCATTTTGCTTTAGAGTAATCTAATGATTTTTATTTTAAAAAATCAGCTTCAAATTATTTTTTCATCAGAGCCTGCAGGACGATAAAAACAATAAAAATTAAATTAAACAAGTCAGATAAAATTAAAGGTAAGTCCACCGCTCTCCTCCTCATCCTCTCCCCCTCTTGCCTGCTCTGTTATCCGCGGCAGACACCCCCGCCCCGCGCGCGCGCGCGCACGCACACACACGCGCGCGCGTGACAAACACGGACTTTAAACATGAAGGTTTATTACATTCACACTGGCGAGGTGGGCGCGCCCTGCGCTTGTATCTAAAGCGTGACTTTTGCTGTCCTGCTGTTCTTGTCGTGGAGGGGTCTGTGGGTCAGGGAGGGGTCTGTGGGTCAGGGAGGGGTCTGTGGGTCAGGGAGGAGGGGTCTGTGGGTCAGGGTCGTCTGAGGAGGAAGCAGATGAATGGAGTTGCACACGGGAACTTTTATTTAAGATTTAAGTTTTTTTTTTATTTCAAAGGTACTCATGGCTCAGCAGCAGCAGAAGCATAAATATTACTGTTAATAAAGCTGATGATAAAGTTGAATAAAAATCTAAGTTTGATTTAGGTAAATTAAAAATCTGACAGTGATCATTACACAGTGTGGCTGTAATTCCTCACTTCACCATCTGTGTCGCAGTTTCACGTCTCCAAAATGAGCGTACGCATGGGTCAGAGCTGGCGTGAGGCACCGCACATTTTCACGTCAAGTTTGGATTTTATAAATCACAACCTTGGCGTAAAAAATGGCGTACGCAAGTTTCTGGGCTCAAATTGTGCGTACGCCAGTTTTATAAATCCGACCCCTGGCCTGTATAAACAGAACCAATAATTAGCACCATAATTGATACTAACATTCAAATAACTCAGAATTAAATACCATAAAACTTAAATAAATGGTATAATTATAGTCATATACATGTACATGATTAACTTCAATATTTGTTGGTTCAATGAAATTACACCAAACAAATAGTCATGAATAGAGTACTCAATTCATTATCATATTAAATGGTTCAGTATTGTACATTACTAACTCAAAAGCATTTCTTTAATGAACATTATTTGTCCTTTTAAATTTAAGGTTGTTAGGAAAAACAAAAACATGTATTTGGCTTTAAACCAATTTGCTTTAATCCAGTTGGTCAAATAATCCAAAATAAACTGTTGCAACATGAAATCATTACTCAGTTGAAATATGAAAACTGGCTAATATAGCCATAGCTGTGATTCAAAAACATAATGTGGATCAATGGAGAGTTTAACTAGTGCCTGCACTAAGTTAACTCTACGCCAAACATTTTAAACAAAGGATGCATGCTGCAAACAAAACAACACTCACCAGTTCCAGTTTTGATCAGTTTCATAAGACTCAGATTACATCAATGCCACACTGGTAGAGTATCTAAAACCTGAGAGTCATATAGTGAGTGTCAAAGCAGTTAAAGATGAAAAATATTGAGTTTAACTCAGATAATTACCTACCTGCAGCAGCTCCACTCCTTCCCAGCTCCACACACACCTGATGCTAAACACTAGTGTGCAGCCATCTTAGCTCCAAATCTCACAGAAAGGCCCTTTCCCAGTCGTTGGCTACACACTCGCCCCACTCCCTACAGTCACTCGGTTTGCGCGTTCCCGCAGAGGGCTGGCCATATTAAGTCCCATTCGAAACTAGTTAGGTACGAATGCGAGTGGCTTATTAAGCCCTCCACAGCAAGTCAGCATCCAGTGCAGACTTGAGCAGCACGTGCAGCACCAAATATCAGTGTTGTATAAAGCAGTGGTTCCCAAACTTTTTATCTTCTGACCCACAAAATATTCATGGCAAAAACTTGTGACCCCAAATATTACTGGTCTGAGTACATGAACTTTGTTAACAACCCTAAAAATACAGGCTTTTTGACAATCTAAACAGCTTGTACACAAATATAAATACTTATTTATACTTATTTTATGTTTTTGTAATAATTATAGGGAAAATATTACATCAGCAATTATTTTATTACCCTTTAAATTGATTTCTGGAGATTATCCAAGGTGCTTCATGACCCATAATTGGGTCCCAAGCCCAACTTTGGGAACCAAAGTGCAGTGGTTCCCAAACTTCAGCATTTGACCCACAAAATAACAGCAGCAGAGACCTGTGCCCCCAACTGTTTTTGGATGATAAACATTTGTGTCAGGTCAACTAAACTTGGGCATGGTAACAATATTTTTATACTACATTTATCCATTTTAAATACACTAACTTCACTCCTTTGTAACAACTAAGGCAAAAAATGTAATTAATTCCTAAAATCTTTTCAGGACCCCACCTTGATTTTTCGGGACCCCACTTTGGGTCCCGACCCCAACTTTGGGAAACACTGGTATAAAGTACCTCAAAGTGATACTTGAGTAAAAGTACAAGTATATTATCACAAAAAATACTTTGGTAAAAGTTAAAGTCTTCTCTAAAAATATTACTTGAGTAAAAGTCCTAAAGTATTTGATATTTTTTGTACTTAACTATCAAAAGTAAATTTCTGACACAAAATCTACTTAAGTATTAAAAGTACTGAGTAAAAGTGAGCAGTTAGATTTTCCAAAATGACATTTATTGGGAGGTGACTTCTCCAAAAAATATATTTTCTAACAGCGTGCAGCTGTGATGGGTTGTGTACAAGCTAATAGTGTGTCAAAATGGTATATATTTATACTTCTCATCCAAACACAATTAAATTCACTCTATCCAGGAGACACAATTTTTCAGGATAGGATTTTTTAAGTAATAACACAGAATAAAATAGGAGTAACGACTTTCTACTTCTTACCTTTTTAAAAAATGTAGTGAGTAGAAAGTACAGATAATTGTGTAAAAATGTAATGAGTAAAAGTAAAAAGTACGCTGAAAAATAATTACTCAAGTAAGGTACAGATACCCAAAATTTCTACTTAAGTACAGTAACAAAGTATTTGTACTTAGTTACTTTACAACTCTGCTGCCCACCACTGTTGTAGACAAATATACACAGACTTGATGGCCAAAACATTATCGCCCTTGTGCAGTCTGTGTGTATAGGCTGATTCTCTGAGTTATGAAACCATTTTAATGACATTTCTCCACATTACAGTGTCATGAATGGGATTCCATACAGAAATAATCAGGAAGTAATTAAAAGCATGTATTGAACTTGCTGAGTCATGTAACCAGCCTCAGGGAGACATGCATGAAACGGAACATGTCACTGTAAAAAAAAAAAGAAAAAAAAGTGAAGTGTCGCAGAGGCTACGGGCCAGGCTTTGGGTTTTTCTTACAGGGAGGTAGCCGCCTACACTGACCTGGATATGAGCAGATCAACAAGGGCAGGATTGGTCTCTTGTCATGGATCTGATGACAGCACCAACTCGGTGCAGCGTTTATAAACAGCTGTCTTTAATCTGGACTGTGGTTGTTGTCGGGCAGCTTAGACGAGCTATTAGCATCGTGATAAACAGTAGCTATCACAACCCACGCAGAGTGGTTTTGTTATAACTTCGGTATTTTTTTTATTTCCGCCTGCCGCACCCATCTGTTCGGTGAACGGTGGTAACGTCACGTCAGAGACATCGGGATTTGGATGTGAACCGAAGAACTGGAGCTTCGTTTACGCGAAATTTAGGAAGTGAACCGGAAGTTGGATTATTTTTCTCTTCACACGGCGTCGGCGATGAAAAAGTGCTTCGAAGTCTAAAGTTTTCTTTTGGAATTGGAAAAAAGTGGACATATTTGTCAAACACCTGTTTTGTTTGTAAGACGGCGTCTCATTTTTGTTGCTGCCGTGAATGCTGGATTTTCACAAGACTTTATTTTGAAAGCTCCGAGCGGAAGTGGAGCATGGCCTCGTGCGGGTTAACGCTGACAGGAAGTGGGATGTGGCCTGAGTGTATTTATGTCGCCGTTCAGAAAGTAAAAACCATTGAAACGGAGCTACGGTAGGACCTGGTGGGACTCGGAGGGTTACGACATCTGTGCAGTCTGACAGTAAACCTCCCCGTTTGTAATAAAAATTAAAAAACATCGATAAGTGGAGAAGCTGCTTTCTGGACGACCATTTTCCCCGTCAAAAACCTGTTCCCAGTCTTAAATTTGAACTCTGTTTAATGGAATGACAGCATGTTAATCATCAAATCGGCGACTTTTGACCTATTTTCCTAAACTGGGAACAGCCGTGTCTTAGCTTCACCCGGGAGAAGCTTACCTTCATCATCGGGTGATGATGAAGTCCTCTGTAACCCTGGAAGAGTTACCCCCTGGCTCGGACATCGTCCTCCTGAAAGACAGCTCCGGACACAAAGCTCACCTGAACGGCTGTGTGCCACTCTCCCATCAGGTGGCAGGTCACAAGTATGGCGTGGATAAAGTAGGTAAGTTACTTGGGGATTAGATTTAGTCATTTCTCTGCAGTAAAATCGTTTTATTGCAGGGTTGTAGTTCACCACATATTAAAAGGTTCAGATGGAAAAACAAAACAAAGATGAAAACAGTCTTCAGACTTTATGATAACTGATGAGTGTTTTGGATGTATAATTACTCTTACTTCCTGCCTGCTGGTGTGTGGGGCAGAAACAAAGGTCCTTCACACCTGTCTGTTCTGGGCCAGCTTCTTGATGGTACCTCAGGTTTGCTTTAGGGTCTTCATCTCTATCTTTCCTCACCGAGTGTTCACCTGCCTGGTGTCCAGTGTAGGGGCTGTGAAGGTAATGTTCTAAGAACATGCCCCAAATACCTCCACCTTCTCACCATGATTGTCTCCAGGCTGTCTGGATGACAACAAACAAGCTGCTCTTTCAGATGGTGTTGGGTCAGAAGACTCTGTGTTCTTCGCAGGTTCTTCTAACCCTCAACATGGACAGCTTGTTCAGATCACTGCTACTCATCCTCCGACACTGATCAGTGTCTGAAGGCATTTCTGGCTTTAGACGGTTTTGCATGCTCTTCCATCATAGATGGATAGATCATAGAGAGGTATTAATTTTTATAGATAATAAATTGGTCGAGTGGTGTGTGTTTGATCATGATTGTGATGTTGATGCTGTGCAGCCAGGAATAACTGAAGTAGTCATGTCAGCGGTCTGGTTTTTTTACAGTATCGAAAAAAGACAAGTGTATTTCTAAGTTTATTTATATAAATAATTTATGTTTGTGTAATATCAGTAAATATTAATTATCGACCATAACACCAATAATATCAAATATTGATATCTGCTGAAATTTTCATATCTGTGCATCCCTAATGTCCATAGTGTAGTTCTCCTCTCAGCCAAGAATCACTGGAGATAGGCACCTGCACCCTGCAGCGCTACATTGTAGGGATGTCCCGATACCACTTTTTCACTTCCGATACGATACCGATATTACAACTTTGAGAAATGTCCGATACCGATATTGACCGATACCGATATTGACCCGTTACTGTAACAGTRCAAGTCACACACTTTTACCTATTTTGTAGTGTAAAATCTTAGAAAAATCTTGATCAGATCAAACAGTGAAAAAGAGTAGGTATGAGAAAAACTGACCCATTTATTTTAAACCAATGGATCACATACATTTTACACTGAAGAACATTATACAATTTAATAAATAAAATAAATTACAATACCCTGAAAAAATAACATAATAAAAACAAAATGTACTTTTACAGTGTAAAATAATTCAAAATCACTCCAGTTATTATTTTTTACCATCTGTCAGCCTTGTGCTGCTTTATGGTGGAAAAAACTGAAGGTGAGGACAAAACAAAACCCCACATTATTGTCTGTTCAAAGTTAAGAGTCCACAGCTCCAATTTTACTGACTGTAACTAAAACAACGTGATCATTGCACTTAATCTTCACTCAAACAAGTGTGTAAACAGATTAAACATCACTCTAATAACAAGAGCAAAAAATAAATAGTAAGAATTAGTTATTTAAATTGATAGCTACCTTTCTTAGTGCTAAATTTCCACTTTCTATAGTCTGAGCATCATGTGGAGATCAGCCTCTCTCTCCTGCAGGGAGCAGTTTTTATCACTGCTCTCGTCATGTCGCTCATATTCCAAAACAAAAGCTGCGCTCTCCTTTCTTCTGTCCATCAAGAGCTAATCCACGGATGTCAAAACAAGCGTGCTGTCCTCGCTTCTGCCCGCTTAGAATCACCGACCCGACCAGAGAGGAGATTCCGAAACAGCGCGGCTGTGTGCGGTCACTGGACCGAGGCTGAACCGAGCCGAACCGCAAAGCTGCTGCCAGGGTGGAGAGTAGTTGTCGCTCCGGTTTAAAACGTTCACGGTTCTGTGTTTCCCCTCGGAAAACTTGTGCATGACAACTTTACACTTAGCTGCAACTCTGTTTTTGATGAAAATAAAAAGTTCTGCTGCCGACATTCTTGCTAACTTGTTAGCGCTGCTGTTGTTGTGATCACGTGAGCGCTTCAAGCAGGACCCAAGCGCTGCTGGATAGAAACACTGGAGCGGAGTCAGTGAACTGCTGGAACGGACTGCTAATATCGGAGCGCTGATATCGGACATTTTTTATGCAGTCCGATAAAATCCGATACTCGTTTTTTGGCTGATATCGGACCGATATCCGATATTGATATCTGATCGGGACACCCCTACTACATTGAAAGCAGATAAAGAACATGAATTATTGCCTTTTATTTAGATCTGCACCTGTTTTGGACTGAATTATAGGGATGCACCAACACCACTTTTTTTGTTTTCAACTAAGTGCAAGATTTAGATTTGAACACATAAATACCAAGTACCAGTACAATTACTTTCAAAATGTGTTTGAAAATTAAAGGATGTTACTTTTCATGTTGACTCGCCTGGAGAGCAATAATCTTTTTCTAAAACCACTCTAGGTGAGCGGTAAGAGTGTCAGGAAGTTGTGCTCAGACCTGTATTTTCCCAGGATCCTCTGTCACCATTTCCCACTGCTGTCAGCAAACTCACTGTTACGTTGTTTTATTTCCCTATGTTTTTATCAAATTACTTTTGTTCTCTTGACAAATTTGCAGGGCAGAATTTTTAGTCTTATTTTACTTTTGTCAGAATCTTTCACCGTTTTTTTTAAGTGGTCTTAGATTACTTTTGTTGTACTATGTAAAGAAAATGAATTGCTCTGAGTTAAACATTAAATATTGAACTGAGTTAAATATTAAGAAAAAATATGTAGTATTTTCCACATTTTGTTTGATTTTAAAATTTGACTGTTATATTATCTGGTCCAAACTTTTTTGAACAAGACATGTTCATATATTTCACAACAGCCCACAGGACCAGTGTTGTGCAAGTTCATCCCTCACACTAACTAATTTTAACTACAGCTTGGTCAGAGTGAAACTATTAATCCATGTTTATAGTTCACTGATGTTTAACAGAAATGTGTCTGTTAAACATCAGTAAATATCACAAGTCTTTTAGCATGTTAATCTGATCTCAGCTAACCTCTTGTTTTACTTCTTTCCTCTTGTTTCTGCTCATGACTGTGTGTGTACCTGGTGTTTGTTGCCTTTTTAGGATCGTTTTTGGTATAAACATCTACCTTGTTGGGACCATTAGTCCTTTTGGAGACCAAAGACTGGTCCTAACATGGTGGAAGTAAACACCATTGGTGGTTAGGGTTAGTGATTTATTGGGGGTGGTTAGATTTTGGGTTAGGCAACAGAAATGAATGAAAGTCAATACAAAGTCCTAAGAAGGATAGAGAAACAAACTTGTACTAGCAGTGTGTGTGCCTATGCCGTCTTCTCAGTTATATTTTGCTCTGATGTTGTAACCATTACAATACAGTCACAGGGCCTTTCATCGTGCAGTTTTATTTCATTTCTACCACTCTGTCTGGGGCTTCACTGTTTTGTCTGTGAAAGTTAAGAAAGTCCACCCTCTGGGGTTTACATATCAGGATGGTAACAATGATTGGGTTCTATAATTACTCAAATTTAATCTCAAGTGTCCAGAAACACAACAGATTCCACCGTGTCCACTTTTGTTAAAGGGATCCACGATTAGTTGTAACATCAGACTTTATTTGATAAACATATATTTTAACTGTAAAATAAAGACTGTAAAAATACTGTAGGATGTTCAGTTTTAATAATTTTTAAACTAAAAGTTTAAAAATATATTACACAGATGAGGCCATTTTATTTACACGCAAAGCATTCTGGGTAAATGATGACGTGGATAGGTCCTCGGTGCGAGGCTGCTAGCGAGCTATATCCACCCTGAAGGTTAATCTTGGACAATATCTGATGATCGACTCTTTTAAATGAAACCAGAGAGCGTTGACAGAGAGGAGAAGGTAGAAATGACTCAGCCTGGAACTGAAAATATGGATGGAGGACAACAGAGCTGCTTCAAGGAAGAACAATCTCAGCTTAGCCTGTTAGCTTTAGCATTAGCCCCGATGCTAACATCATATATATGTATTAGCTCAGCGCTACACATTCTCCTCTCGTCACTGAGGTCCTCCATCCACACGACAGAGAGGGGAACGCAAAAATGATTCAGCCTGCAGCTGACAATGTCGATGGAGAACCTCAGTTTAGCTTGTTAGTTTGATGCACTAGCGCTGAGCTAATACATATAAGGCAATATAGCGTCGGTGCAAAGGCTAACAGGCTAATCTGAGGTTGTTCTTCCATGAAGCAGCTCTGTTGTCCTCCATCCATATTTTCAGTTCCAGGCTGAGTCATTTCTACCTTCTCCTCTCTGTCAACGCTCTCTGGTTTCATTTAAAAGAGTCGATCATCAGATATTGTCCAAGATTAACCTTCAGGGTGGATATAGCTCGCTCACATCGTTGAGCTAGCCACGTCATCATTTACCCAGAATGCTTTGCGTGTAAATAAAATGGCTCCGTCCGTGTTAAAATATATTTTTAAAAATTTACTAAACTAAACAACCTACAGTATTTTTACAGTCTTTATTTTACAGTTAAAATAAATGTTTATCAAATAAAGTCTAATGTTACAACTAATCGGGGATCCCTTTAAACAAATAAATAAAGCCAAACTGCGAGTGAAAACCTCTTTCTGCTTTCACAGGGTTTACGATGGAAATGCTGTTGATCATATGCACGTCATTAAAGGATCACTGGACCGCGTTAACACTCCAAGATGGAAAGACCTCTTCTTTTTTATCTGCATTTATTTGGGAAAGGTTAAAGGTCTCTTAAAGACATGATAATCAAATTTTTTTTTACCACAGATGATATCTGGAGGAAGCCACTCCAAGACTTTTAAAGTACAAAAGCCCACTCGGCTCCACTGTGAGCAGCAGGAACTCTGTGACCTTTAATATTGCAGAACATCTTGTCAGAATCTAAACTCCTGTATGTAGTTGGTCTCATACATGATGATGAAATGACTTCTCTGAGGTGTGTCTGGTCCTACGGTTGATGCTGCACTGTGCTCTCACAGCCCAGACCCACCTTATTTGTTCTTTTGTTATGTATTAACTGATGATACGCTGATGTAAATCAATACTTTTCCTCACTCATTCATACGAAGGAGGTAACGTTGCCTTGAACAACACATACACACCCTGATAGTGACGGTCTTTGAGTCTAAACTGCCTAGTTGGAATCACAGTTTAACCTGCTTCTTAGCACCAGGACAGGCTTGGAAAAAATGTGGTGTTGCAACATGTTCAGTGACACGTTCTATAAAAAATAAATCAGGTTTGGATTTGTTGACTAAACGTTTGAACTCACAAAGGCTCTTTTTGTTTAAGCCTTTGGCTTCTGAACTGTAGTAAGACTTTTGAGTCCAAACTAAATAATTATCTGTATTTCATATCAAACTGAAATAATTACCAAAAATAGAAGGATGTAATTAGCAAAAACAAATTTGATATTTTGATTTAACTCCAAATACCTTTCACAGACTTTAAAAATATTGCCTAAGGAAAAGATTTCATATCATTTTTTTATTAGCACGACAAGTTAAGCAAGAAAACATTGCTGAAGAATACAGAACCTTTTGTTTTCTGTCAGTAAGTTTAAACTTCTGTGGTCTGTTAATAATTAATCTGTACCACATCAACGTACAACTAAGATAAGATTATTTCCCACCATTGGCAAATAGAAATATAACTGCTTTATCATAGTGAACTGATGAAAACCCAGCTTTACATGACAAAACTCTGAGTAATCAGGTCTTTAGTCAAACTTTTCCTACACTGAGTTAAGAATCAAATTTAGTCATTCATCATGTCTGAGTCATGGGAGAACAAAATGTGTATCTCATACCAGTTTTAACAAAACAAAATGACAACCTAACGTTCCATCAATAAGAACAAAATCCAGATGACGGCTTTAAGGCTCCACTGTACTTCAACATGTGAGGCTGCAGATCTGTCTTATAGTTAAAAACAGTCTTTTTCTCAAATCAAAAGAGAACCAGAGGGTGATAAATCCTGAGAAGTCCTCCCACTCTGCCGTTTAAGGACCTGTCACACTATGTTTTAGAGAACTTGTGAAAATTTTAAAGACATCTACAGTGAAGATGGAATTTAAAAATCATCTGTAATGATAACAAATTGATCAAATATATAACTTTTATTAGTAATTTAGAGTAAAAATTATTTCATAAGTTGGCATAGTTGTCTAAAACAGTGTAGTGTGACAGGGCCTTTACCGAGGAGAACTATGTTGTAAATTTTTCAGAAAAAGCCCTCCCCTGTTTCCAGCAGACGGTGTGTGAACGCGTCTCTACGCTGTCCGGCTGAGGTGCACTCTGTCCTGGTCATCACCTTTTGTTTGACTTTATAATTTTTACTGGAACAGTCGTAATGGCTGTATTTTCTCACAGCCTTTTCCAGCAGTTCCTCGCCTAGTCCTGTCAGGATAACAAATTTTACTGGACGATAGATGGTCTCAGAAATTATTGCGATAAATGATAATATTGTTGGAGAGCAGTAAAAACGAATATAATGACATAACAACCCCTGTTTATGGAAGTTTACATTGATATTTACATAGTGTAAAAATAAAAAAACTGTCGGCAATCCCAAGGCATCGCCAGCTGTATGAAGGTGTCAGAAAACTGAAGACACTCCTCTGGCTAAATGCCTGTTCACAGGCTGCTACAGATGTAACACTGAGTCTGGACCCGCCTGTGGCCCCCCCCTCTGACGTCGATACAAAAGGCGGAACCAATGCGATTGGCTCATCATTGTAGTCGGATCCTTTAGTGCGTTGCACCACTGTAAACAACGGCCAGTTCATGGTGAAAAAGAAGAGCGTGAAGTTACCATCCACGATTATCACAACAAACAATATTGTGTTGTTACAAGGTAAGAATTCTTGTTGTTGGCTAACTTTATGAACTTTAATAGCAGCCTGTCAGAACAGCAACAGGCGTTATCATCAGCTTGAGTTGATTTCATGCTTAGCTAACGCTAGTTAACCTGCTTGAGTTGCAACCTAAATGTTAGTAAACTGCTCGGTTGCTGAAGTGTTGTGGATTTCTCTCAGAGAGGGATCTGGAGGACTTGAGAGATATTCAGAGAGAGGGCACAGAGATAGAAAGAGAGACGGATGAAGATCCTGAAAATGAGGAAGCTGAGATTGAAATACCAGCAGAGTGTGAGACACAGACAGAATATATGTGCACACACAAATGCTGGACCAACAGGTTTGTGATGTTGAACACAACAACAACAAAACAAACAAAACATTTATTTGTTAATGCTTATTTAACAAGGACGATACATACAACACTGCCTTTTTAAAAATGGGAAAATGTGCTTCATATAAGACATCTAGCTTCAGCTAATTTGCAGTCTTAGAATACATAGCGCTTTAGAATACAATGAAAAAATGTACTAAGTACAATAAAAATGCAATGAATTTATACAAGTAATAGCATTAATTAATAATTACAGTGAAACAATTTAGACAGTAGAGAGATTTTGTGTGTTTAAGCAGTGTCAGTGCAGCTTATGTGCTGTGTCCATTCAAAAGAAATGTTTATTTACATATATTGGGTTTTTCTTCCTCCACAGACATCAGCAAATTTAAAGATGATCCACTGATGCAGCCAGACCTAAAGTTGTTTCTGCGCACCTTGATGGGGGACAGGAGGAGGAGCTTCAAGGCAGCCTGGTACCCCATCCACCCCTGGCTTGAATATTCAAAACAGGTGGACTCTGCATATTGTTACGCTTGCAGACATTTTAGCCCTCCCAATAAGAGCCACATAAAGAAGTGTTTTTTTTAGCTCTACAGACTCTGTAAAATAGCAGTTGCAATCCCAGTGAGTACTGCTTCCTGTGAACGGAGTTTTTCTATGTTAAATCTTGTGAAAACATACGTCCGATCCACCATGAACGATGACAGATTAAGCAATTTGGGTGTACTGACCATCGAGTCTAGGAGGGCAAAGACGCACTGAGCCTTGATTCATTTGTTCATCGTTTTGCCAGAAATCACCCTCTGGTTCATCAAATCAGAAATCAGTTTTTTTCATTCGTCTGCTCATATTTTCTCCAGTACAGTAGAGTGTGTAAAGTTTTACATTTGTGTCTCATGTTATATTTTTATTTTATTCAAAATATATGATATTTTGAACCATTTGTTTGGTTACAATAGTTAATCACTGTTTATTAAAAATAAAGATGAATCAAATACAATTTGGAATCTGTCTTTTTCCGGGGTTGAATGTGCCTCTCTGGCAAACCCTCTGGCCCCAGTCAGGCCCCCTCAGCATAACTGGTGCAATCACACACTGTTCATAGTGCTGCCAAAACTAGTTCTGACTAAGGACAATGAACAAGACAGGGTCTCAGCAGGTGGAAAGAGTAGAAAATGACCAGGGCTCTAGAGTGCAACCAATTTGGTCACAAATGGGACCTGATTTCTTAATAATTTGACTAGAAAAGTTTTCCAGTCGCACTGGTGTGACCAGTCGTTCGACGGTCGGAGTTCATCAGCCTCAGGGAGGACCAACGATGCTGTGGAACAGCATTGTTAACTTGTATCTGAGGGAGGAGGGCCTGCACAGTTCATGGGCTGAAATGGGTTGGGTCTCTAAATGGTTCCCAACGTTTTTAGAGTCATGTACCCCTGAGCCATTTTGTCGTACCACTAGTACCCCTTCAGTCAAACATAATGCTGATTCTCCAAAACTATATGATAAATGATTTATTTAACCCCCTAAAATGTTTAATTCTCAGACATTTTATTCTTTTCACCTCAAATTAACTAAGATAAAAACGTGAATAAGTAATTAAATAAACCAGATAATAGCAGGCGCAGAAAACAGCAGCGTCCAAAATACATTGTATTTTCCAAAATACGCCAGAAACTCACCCAAATGAGCAAATTCCATGAGATTCCACGTTTTATACTGGATTCCATTTTGTTAATTACATGATTCTGTCTACATTTTCCACATTGTGGAAATCATAGGGCCCTACATATCTCAGTCCTATTTTTGTTTATTTTTTACACACCTAGGAAATCCCCCCCCCACCCCCCACCCCCGTAATATGCTCACACACCCCTGTTTGGGAATCACTGTCTTAGATGTTTGCTCTGGTTCGGCATCATCTTGTGTAATTTTCCTCTAGCTCTATATTCATCCATTCAGTTTTTTTGATTCACTTTTCCGTGTCGTGGTGATCTCGTGTCTGTCTCAGGCAGTCACTGAGGTGTTGGGACACCTGGGCAAGTCTCCAGTTCATCAAGGACAGACAACCATTCACACTCCCACTCACACCTAGTGACATCTGGAGGTACTAATTAACCTTTATCATTTCGCTCTGTGGGAGGAAACCGTAATACCCAGAAGAAAACGTGTACATTCAAGGAGGGAACATGCAAACTCCATACAAAGTCAAACCTGCAACCTTCTTGCTGTGAAGTGACCCCTCAGACCACTGTGCCACTCAGATCTAGACCCACATTTTCAAAATCATTATTAGTGATTACTTGGAAGGAGATAGTTTCTCGCCATTTCAGCTCATGAATTCTATAGAGTACACTTTTTCTCATGAACATCTCTACTTTTCCTTTCAGGGAACATGGAGACTGGGTTGACTGACTCACTATTTTAAGAGTTAATTGAGTCCTCCCACACCTTTTCTTTACTTTCAAAAAACCAAATGTTCCAGTATTCTTAAAAGTCTTAAGCCTTTCTTGTGCAACAAAACAGCCTCCTCCTACATTAACTACAGTGATAAGGTTCAACATTTTCCTGGAATCAACTCATTGCATTGTAAATGAGACTAAATAACATCAGTTTGTGATAGGAGCTGCCCTTCCCCTCATCTAAGAGCCACACCTATTGTATACCTGGAAATCAACTGAAAATCGGCTTCTTAGAAATTACATTGTTTATGTGTTTATGTGCAGAAGAGATGGGCAACATTATATTGTTTCTGGTATACGGTAATGGTGAGTTGTCCTGCAGTAACAATGATGAATAATTCATGACACATTTGTAGATTATTTGCAGTGTTGAAGTGCATCACTGACCTGTTTAGTGAACTTGTATTTAATTTGAATTGTATTTAATTTGAATGCCTCTCAACAAAGAAGTTTAAATTCAGTTTAAAACAGATCTGGTATTTAGGAGGGTAGGAAGCAGACAGATGCATGTTGTAGATCGAGCATAGTCTCTTTGGGAAGAATCAGTTTTGAGCGGCTGTGGCTGAGTGGTTAAGGATCCTCTAACCAGAGTTGGCAGTTTAATTCCCTGCTGGTTAGTCTTATGTCAAAGTGTCCCTGGGCAAGACACTGAACCCCCACTGCCTCTGATGTGTCCCATCAGTGTATAATTTAAAGTATTGATTAGTCTCCATAGATTGATTTGTATCTGTTAGCTTTGTAGTGAGATCTAACAGAGGGCTGTGTTGGTAAATGAGGGCACAGATTGTTGTGTAGGCCTAAAGCACTGTGAGTATCCTGGTTGGATAGAAAGGCGCTGTATAAGTACAGTCCATTTACCATTTGATTTATGACCCCATTAGTTTCATAGGTTTTGCTTTGTTACTTTAGCTGTTTGAACTATGCTGCTACTTTCTCTGCAATGGGAACACAAGTAAATGTTCAGTCAGTGTTCATGATACATTATGATGGCTTAGAAAGAATATTTAGTATTGTTTAGCAGCATAGTTAAGCTACTTGATTGTAATTGTGTATTAAAGTAGCTTTTTTGATCATTTGTATTTTAATTTTAGATGTGGTGTCGGGTGGGGGGCACTGAAAAGCCAGGGGTTGCACACCAAAGCTAACATCCATGATGTGTTTATAAAAATGACAATTTGAAAACTATGGCAATATAAAGCTATGGACTTGCCAACAGATGTTGAGTTTGTAATTTTACAGATAATATCACTGATTTTGTGACGTTCAGAGACAAAAAACAAGAACCCAAACTATCTGCACTTCTGCAGTAGTCCATTTCTAACTTGTTCTGTATCTTTACACATGCAGTGCCATAAGTTATTCTTACATTGTTACATATTTCAGTGGCTTCAAAAGTTTTTGTGATGTCGGGGGGGGGGTATGTGGGTCCTCCTCCATCAAATTTTGAAAGAAGTGGATGCCATTACCTGCATTCTAGTCAAGTAGATTAAATTTATTTGTTAAGCAAAAGAAACAACACTGGGAACTAATGTTTTATGGTAAATGAATTAAATTGTAAATGTGATTGGGAAACTTCCCTTCAAAAATGATTGCTGTTTTTTTATTTAAAAAAAATCAAAATATATATTTTAAAGACATTTACAAGGTACAAGCTTTTTAAAAGTTAAAGCCACCTCTTCTATGTATGTTAAAAGTTTTATTTGCTTGTTGATGTTAAATTTTGTGAAGAAAATCTAATTATAAAAACTCAAAACTGGAAATAAAATCTAAAACAAGCACAATTACAAAACTGGAAATAAAATCTAAAACAAGCACAATTACAAACTACATCTCCTGTAGAGTTATCCCAAACTATTAATTTATTACTTTTTTATGTCATATAATAAATATGATTTTGGTCTGTGAGAGAAAACTGGAGTACCTGGAGAAAACCCACTCCTGCACGGGGAGAACATGTAAACACAGAACAGAAAGTTGATCTAGCAATCTTTTTCCTTAGAGGCAATATGTTGATCTAACAACTGTGCCACTGTACTGATTCTTTTATATTATTTAATTATTTAATATCGATTTAAAATATATCTGACTATAACCTCCTGAGAACCTCCATCTTTATTTGAAAATATTACTTTTAGACTGGTCTGAAAGTCGCAAAGGGGAGGGGCCTGTAAGGTGTTTTCCATGCCAAGTCCCTTTAAAAGATAGCATTACAATGTCTTAAATTCATTAAACAAGATGTAATTTCATGGTAAAAGTACCATCCATTACCAGGGCTCCAGAGTGCGACCAGTTTTATTGGTATGACTAGAAAAAACTTACGGTTGCACTGATTCGACCAGTTGTCCTGCGGGGGACATTCACCAACGCAAAAAGACAAAATAGGACTACACACATGTCACACATGGTGAAGCATTTAAAGGAGACCAATTATGGGTCCTAGAGATATTTATGTTATGTCTGTGGGTTATCCAGACCATGTTCATTCAATTTAATGCACAAAATAATTCTCAGATAATAAAATTTCCTATTTTCTAGTTCTGCCTGCTCTGACTTCTGTTCAGAAGAGCTGTTTATGTTAATGATCTCTGTTGGTAACGCCCTCCAAAAATCTGTTGACATTAACTCCGCCCTCCAAAGCCAACATTTACGTTAGCATGGCTAATAATAGCAGAAGCTCCGTTGTACAACCATATGAGACCCAGAGGCAGAGTCGTGGTCCCAGCTTTTTTTTTTTTTCTCCCTCCTCTGCTCTGTGCTCACTCTGCATGCTGTTACCAGAGCAGGGAGCAGCAGCGGTCAAAATACCTCAGAAACTCGAACAAATAGGCTTTAACAAGGCTTTAATAAGCTAAACAATAGAGGTACATGAGAAAATGTGTTCATAACGAACAAAAATAAATAAATAATTAAATTGTGTCCATGCTGGTCTCGAACCCTGGTCTCCTGCTCTCTGATCCAACACTCTACCCATTGTCCTATTGGACGCTTGTTGTGATTTGAGCTGCGCATTACACAACAACAACAACACTGTGACGGCTTTTTATACTGAGGAGGAGTCTCACCCGGGGGTTGCTAAGTAAGGGGCTGAACGCAGGTTCCGGTGGGTTGTCAGCTTGTGACATCACAAAATAACGGAAGTATAAAACTTGTCGTTAATACACATTAAAAACACATTTACAGTACTTACAGTAAAAATGCCCCTGGGTGCATTTTTTTGGTCCTAGGACTGTTTTTTTAAGAAGTACATACCCAAAGTTGAGTAAAAAAAACCTTTTAAAAAGTGAATTTTGCATAATAGGTCCCCTTTAAACAACTGTAGTTTTTTCAGTTATTTTTTTTCCCAAACAGGAGTCAGAAAAACATTTATTTATTTATTTATTTTAAAAAATTCTTAACTGCGAAGATGAAAAGAAGATATGGACGTTTGCTTTCTCTTAAGTCCCTCTTGCTATTTTTTTTTATTGGCTTCTGCACTGGGAGCACAGCAGATCATTTCAGCAACATGAGGAAGCTCAAGTATATAGCAAGCCGTTTTTATACTTCATCGGCTTTACCACACATACATTCCAGGTAGGGTTGCATGATATTAGGAAAATGTGCGATATGCAATAACTGTGCTTAATATTGCAATGATGATATGACTTTTTTTGATAAATGAACAAATACAAGTATGTAGTGTTGATGTCTTTCTGCTCTGGGTTCAGAGCAAAAAAAACAACTGTGGTGTTAAATGTGACGCGGTTGGAAATTGGGGTGTACCTCTTTTGTGTTGATGCACCTAAGGAAAAAAAAATGTAGGCACATCAATGCAACCAGTGCAAAAAGTTAGTCTAGAACCCTGCTTACATGTCGGTCGATCAACCTCTCCATTCCCTTTTAGACTTGAAGCTAATGTGTCTGTAAGGGTTAGGTTAGGATTTTGCTTGTGGTGCAGTTGTGTCTAATTTCTTTAATATTGTGTTTTATAGGTATTTTGCAGCACCCAGATGGAACGGTTCTAAAGCAAGTCCAGCCTCCCCCAAGAGGACCACGAGAAGTTCAGTTTTATAACACGGTAATATACATTAACATCATTTATGACAAACATTTTAGTTTCTTTCATTAATGGCATCTTTTAATTAAATCATTAATTTGAAGTAAAACTGACCAGCACGTTGAATTATTTCACTGAATTTGTGTGTTGATTTAACGTTTTCATTGAGATATCAAAGATGGTATGAAGCGTTTCAAATACTTTCAATTATAATAAAGCATAAAGCTCTGCTCCTCCAGCTGTTGCTGGAAGCTGTCAGCTGTGTAAAACCATGGACAGAGGCTTTGTTTTTTGTTTTTGTTTGTTTTGTTTTGTTTTGTTTTGTTTTGTCATTCATTCATTTATTTGCTAAAGTCAGCTGTTTGGATGTTGAGGCTAATAAAAAGCCAACTATAGGCTTGTTGTTTAAAGTAACCCAGAGAATTATTAAGATTTAGCAGTGAAACAGGAAGAATTTGAAAATGAATAAGAACATCACAGTTGCTAATTCATTTTATTCAGAGGTGTCAAACATATTCACATTCGTTACTTAAGTAGAAGTATAGATACTAGGGTTTAAAAATACTTTTTTGAAAGTAAAAGTGTCAGTTCAAGCTTTTTACTTAAGTGAAAATGTAAAAGTACCATTTTTAAAACTACTTAAAGTATAAAAGTAATATAAGTTTAAAAAAAAAGGCCATTAAGGACAAAAGCTTTGGCCGCACCACAGGGTTCTACAATGCACAACCACCTCCCAACAATTTTTTTAAAGGCAATAATTAGTACATTGTTAAATTAAAATGTTAAGGTGGAAAAATTCGTGATGCACTTACTAGACTACATCCTGCTGGTGTGTGAAGTGATTTGTGTCAAACAGGTGTGATGGACTGCATTCAGTCCAATAAGGTGTCAGAATAGTGTGAAGAAAAAAATATACAGGTACTGGTCATAAAATTAGAATATCATGAAAAAGTAGATTTATTTCAGTAATTCCATTTAAAAAGTGAAACTTGTATATTATATTCATACATTACATACAAACTCATATATTTCAAATGTTTATTTCGTTTAATTTTGATGATTACAAAT